GAACCCTCTGCCCTGAGCACCTCACGTACCCAAACCAAAATTCCTGAATCCTCACATCCAGAAGTCTGTGGCTTGCTTAGTATCCTAACCCTACATCTGACCCCAATGCTGCCTGGCCTGGAACCCCCCCCCCGAGCCAGCGTTCCCTTATCCACCTCCTCCTGCATCCAGATTTCCTCCCAGAGCTTGCACCTCTCACCCCTTCCCACACCCAAATCCCTCATTCCCACCCCGGAGCCAACACATGCTGTCTCAACACAGAGAGGGTACGGCTAGACTGCAGGAGTTTTTCAGAATTCCGGAGATATCCCAGAAAAACTCTTCTGCATCCAGGGATACGTTTGTTCTTCCACTTCTTTTAGTGGAAGAGCAAACATGATCTTTTTGTCACCCCTATATTCCTCTTTCCACGAGGAATAAGGGGACTTCCAAAAGAAGGTTTTTTTCTGACATTTGGTCCAGTCTAGACAGGCCAAATGTTGGAAAAACTTCTTCCTACAGAAGAATTGGGGCGGGGGAAGCAGCCGTGTAAGGATCGGGGATAGCAAGTGATGGAGAGGAGGTGAACAGAGAGGGCGGGGCTTCCAGGAAGGGGCGGGGCGATAGATCTGGGCTTGTTCTGTCATTTAAAAAGTGATCTTGGGTGTAAAAAGGTTGGAGACTATTGGTTTAGGGGGAGTTCTGAACAAACGGCCTAGCAGACAGACACACAGACAGACAGTTGCACTTTGATAGAGATAGAGGTGGTACCACTGAATGCCAGCTAATGACTAGAAGAGGAGGCTAGAAACTTGACCAAAAAAATGAGTTACTAATCACTGAGTTCAAATTTCACATAATCTGACTTTAAAAACCAATATAGCTTTTTAGGGAGGAGGAGGGCATTAGTGTGTTAGTGTCCTTGTATAGTCTATTACAGGTTGTGTTTCATGATGGCTACATGGATTGATTGATTTTTTTTTTTAAAGCATTTCTGCATTCTCTGAGCCAAGCAATAGTGTTGTTTGTTAGTGGCCAAGTAGAGCTCTTATAATCCACCACTAAATTTGATTTGCAGGTACTCCGTGACGATGTGCATCATTGTTTGATCTGGACTACATCTGAGTTAGTGAAGTCACTGGTCACTTTTAATGATGATTGTAGTTCTTGTGAAAAATAACTGTGGGGAATTGAATAAACTAGGTTTTGCTGCCACAGAGCTATTTCTCTTCCTCCTCCCTTCCTCTACCCCACCCCTCAAAAAAATCTCAAGGAGATATGTAAGCATAAAAAGGGGTAAAAGGGATGACTTGAAGGAGCTGGAGAAACACAAAGAGCCTGGGTTGGGATGGTGCACCTAGAGTATGTGCCCACCTCTTGGCTTTTTAAAGATTCTAGGGTTTTATTATATGTATCTCTTTAGGGGATATATGTTAATGTACACCAGTGTTAATGTATGCCAGTGTTAATTGCCACAGTTTGCATGTTCAATCAGGCAAAAAAATGTTAAACTGATCGTCTGAAAAGTGTGTTGGTTTGGGTTTGTTAAAACATTTTGATTTTGACCTTATTTTTTAAGTTTTATATTACTGTAACTAAAATTTTAGACATTTAGAATAGAAAAGAATGTTTCACAATTCTGAAACTTCTAAAAACATTTTAAACCAAGAAACTTTGCATCACTCACCCTTTTCGACAAACAGGTTTGTTTTTTACATTTTCCAAAAGAAAGTTTCAAAATTGCCTGACTGGCAGTAATATTTATGAAAAGCAAGTTTTGAGTGTCAGTTGAGGGTGATTAGATTTTTAGGAAATAATTACTAAAAATCCTAGAAACATCGGACCAGAAGGGACCTCAAGAAGTCATTATATCACTAGAGTCCTCTGCACTCATGGCAGGACAGGACTATCCATTCTACACCATCCCTGACAGGTGGCTGTCTAGCCTGCTCTTAAAAATTTCCAATGATGGAAATTCCACAAAGTGTTTAGAAATTCCACTTTGTGTCAGGGTAGTTGTCCAGCTCAAACCACTCTTACATCAGTTTAAACTCATTGATTCTTGTGCTATCCTCAGTAAAGAGAACAATTTTTTCCCCTCTTCCTTGTAACAACCATTACAAGGTTGTACAAGTACATTGTTATCAACTCTTCTTTATGACTTCTCCTAACTAAAGAAAACCCAATTCCTTCAATCTTCCCTCATAGGACATGTTTTCTAGACCTTTAATAATTTTTGTTGTTCTTCTTTGGACTTTTCCATTTTGTCCAGATCTTTCCTAAAATATGGCACCCAGAACTGGACTTGTTACTCCAATTGAGACCTAATCATTGCAGAATATAGGCCATCCCCACTGTATATCCCGGTGTTCCGCACTAACATCGTTGGTGATTTTAGGATCTATTGTCATAAATCCTCTCATTCCCGAATCTTCTGTCACTCAAAAAATTGGCCTGGGGATGGGAGGAGCATGCAGAGTCTCCTCCTGCCACCAGGGATGCACGGTGTCTAGAGGGAACCACCAGCTATTCAGAACAGTTGGTAGTTCTCTCTAGGTGCCAGGAGGCTGGGGGCAAAGACTTCACTTGCTCTCACACCTCCAGGTAAATCAGGGTCTGTGGACAGGGTAGCCCGGGAAGTTTCCTGGACCCATCCTTTCTTGGGTTGCCTGAGGCCAATTCAAAAATTTGTGAAGTGGCCCCTCCCTTCTAAAATCCCCCTCTCTTCCCCCCATCATAGGTATTTGTCTCTGTGGGATTAGAGCAAATAAAGTTGTATCTTAGGGCTTGGCTGAAGACAATTGATTGTGTGATGTGTGCAAGATGGAAGCTTGAGGCCTGAAGTTAAGTATAGAGGTCAGTAGGTTTGTGGTAAAGGGTGATGTCTATGTGACCATCACTTATTTGCATTGTAGTGTTCAGGAAGTGGATCTCTTGTGTGGACTGGTGCAGGCTGAGGTTGATGGTGGAATGGAAATTGTTGAAATCCCAGTGGAATTCTTCAAAGGCCTCCTTCCCCCAAGGGTCCATATGTTGAGGATGTCCTCAGTGTAGCACAAGTACAGGAAAGGTGTTAGGGACAAGAGCTGAGGAAGTGTTAAGTCAGCCATAAAAATGTTGGCATACTACACCATGTGGGTACCCATAGCAGTACCGCTAACTTGAAGGTATGAATTGTCCCTGAAATGGTTGTAGATGAAGACCATCACAAACCTCAGTGATCCAGGTGTGTTGTGGCAATCTAACCTTCTGATACAGTTCTCAATCTCTCTCAAAGTATTTCAGCAATAGTAAAGACAAACTTCTCTTCCATCATCACAAATCCTACCGTTCTTTTGTTCCTTCCTCTCTCTTTCCACCCTGTATTGGGAGGGAGAGCATGGGTGAGTGACTTTGTGAGTGAGAATATTAATTTAGGGAGCAGCAATATGAAATGGGAGCAAACAAGAGTCTCTCTTGATCTTGGAAGTGAGCTACAGACATATTCTTGCAGGCAGATCCTTTTCTGCAGAACTCTCCATGCCCTTCATAGAAAAAGTAGAAAGAGGCTGAAAGCTGTCTCTGTGTGTGCAGTATGGGGCAGTTGATCCTATAAAGGAACTAATTCTAATAGGGTGAAAGATGTTTCCTTTGAGTAAACTGCTAAATGTTCATTTTCAAATAGAAGCAGAAGAGGAGGGAAAAAATTTTTTCACAGCTTGTAAAGAGGTCATTTTTAACTATTTTTGTTCATGTTATAAGTTTGTGAATGAGTCAGTTTGAAAGGAACTCCTCGTAGAATGGTGTGTAGAAAGTTGTTATGCATCTTTCTTCTATCACCCTCCTTTTAATTTCTTACAGTTAAAATGTCAATGAAGAATTGCTTTACATACTGTTGACTTAATCTGTAGGATGAAATGAGTTGTATGTAAGAAAGCCTTTGACTAGTGCATAACTTTAGTGATTGGTGAACAATTTAAAACTCACAATGAGAAGCTAATTTATTACATATAAAGAAAAAGGAACTCTTCATAGTGGGGAAAAATAAAACAGCTGTGTTATGCCTATCAAGTACAGTACATATGCTTCTTTGTTAGTAGAGTTCAGGAGAGTGGGTGGCCAAAATGTTTGAATTATTCAGATTTAGGAAGCTGATACTTGAAATTCAAGCCAATTTTAAAATATGAACTCTCAGAGGAGCATAAACTTAGAATTCCATAAATAACTTTGTGACAACAGATTAAGTTACTAAAAATAAAAGTATAAAACTTGTTTGGTTACTTGAATTTGTCACCTTAGACAATGATGAAAAAATGTAGCCACTTTGGGTATGTCTAGACTACATTCCTCTTTTGAAAGAGGAGTGTAAACGAAGAAAATCAAAAGCACAAATGAAGTGTGGATTTAAATATCCCGTGTTTCATTTGCATATTCACTTCTGAGCGCTTTTTCGAGAAAGGGTTTTTGAAAGTGAAAGTGCAGGGTTCTTTTGAGGGGGGGGGGGGAATCCTTTTTCTAAAGAACCCGTACTCCTGAACAAATGAGGAGTACGGGTTCTTTCGAGGAAAAGGTGTGTGGGTGTTTTTTTGTTTGGTTTTGGTTTTGGTTTTTGAAAGAACCCAATCTAGACTGTTCTTTCACTTTTGAGAAACCCTGTTTTGAAAAAATGCTCAGACATGAATATGCAAATGTGCATTACTTCACATTTATCAACATTAAATTTCATTTGCCATTTTGTTGCCCAGTCACTTAGTTTGGTGAGATCTTTTTGAAGCTCTTCACAGTCTGCTTTGGTCTTAACTATCTTGAGCAGTTTGGTATCATCTGCAGATTTTGCCATCTCCCTTTCTTTCTCTAGATCATTTATAAATAAGTTAAATAGGATGGATTCCAACTTTTTTTTGTAAAGTGTCCGGCTTATTCTTGAGCTTATGGCTTGTGATCAATTAGTATAGACCAAGAATATTTAGTTATTTGTTAGTAAACTTTCAGAAATTCTGAATTAAAAATTGCTTTTATCTCCTTTTTCTTTCCCTGCCCAGAGCTGGACTTGCAATCATGGAGGAACATCAGCAGCATTTACACTGTGTTAATTGTGTCAGTCGGCGTTGCATGACCAGACCAGAGACTGGAATTTCCTGTGACTTGATTGGCTGCCCACTGGTTTGTGGAGCAGTCTTTCATACATGCAAATCTGAGGAACATCGCATTTTGTGCCCATTTGAAAGAGTGCCTTGTTTGAATAGTGGCTTTGGATGTCCCTTCATTGTAGCCAGAAACAAAGTCGCTGAACATCTAGAAACTTGTCCTGCAAGTGTGGTATGCTGCACTATGGAATGGAATAGATGGCCAGTCAGTTATGCGGACCGGAAATCTTATGAAAATCTAAGTAAAGATGTTGATGAAGTGGAACAGTTAGACATGGCTTTAGCCCTTCAAGACCAGCGCATGCTGTTAGAATCCCTCAAAGTAGCAACTATGATGTCAAAATCAGCTGATCAGATTTCTGAACCTAGAGAGCAGACTTCAGTTAAATCACGTGCTTCTGACACAGTGCTTTCAAATGGATTGATTTCTGCAGATGAAGATTCCTACAGTGCACTTTATCAAGCTACTGTAGAAACTACTAAGAGTTTAGCTGTGGCATTAGATATATTGAACACTGCTACAAGAGACATAAGCATGTTAAGTTCAAGACTATGTATTTCACCATATGAGATGAATGAAGATTTTCAGATTCAAGAGCAAACTGCTAATGGATGTATCCAGCATAAAATTGTAGACCATGACTACCCAGATGAAGATAATATGGGAGCAGTTGGTGGAATTGACTTTGATGTCTTGAGCCAAAATTCACAGTCGGAACAAAATGGTTCAAGTGATTTTTGTTATGATATAGTGCAAAAACATGACTTGAATGCACACCTTGGTAATGCTTCAGCTCTGTGTAATGGTTTTCATACAGAAAATATAGATACAGAGGCATTGGACCAGAATGAAGATCTAGATGTTTGTGATTCAAAACCATCTAATGTAGCAAATGGTGAATGTATTGCATCTCCTGATGATGGAGTATTGAAGTCTTGCAGCTCCTTTCCTGTAGCAGCACAACAACTTAGAGAAGTAATAACACCCCACAGTTTACTTAATGGCACTGTTAATCATATACAACTGCCACGTGACTCCAGGGGAGAGGAAGTGTTAGAGAGGCAATTGGAACAAGAAAGATTGAGAAATGTAGATGTGTTTTCTCTAATTCATCATCGATCATACAGTTTCCTTGTTAACCACTGTTGGTCTACACCAAAGGAAGATAAAGCTGTTGATACATCAGATTTAGACATAACAGAAGATCCTATGGGTCTTCAGGGAATAGATCTAATCACAGCAGCTTTGCTGTTTTGTCTAGGAGACTCTCCGGGTGGTAGGGGGATATCTGATAGTCGCATTGTTGATGGATATCACATTGATTTTGGGACGCAAACGTTTTCTCTCCCATCTGCAATATTGGCCACAAATACAATGGTAGGGGAAATAGCTTCAGCTTCAGCATGTGATCATGCCAATCCACAACTTTCAAATCCAAGTCCTTTTCAGACACTTGGTTTGGACTTGGTGCTGGAATGTGTGGCTAGATACCAAACAAAACAGCGTTCAATGTTTACATTTGTTTGTGGACAATTGTTTAGGCGAAATGAATTTTCTTCGCATTTTAAGAATGTGCATGGTGATATTCATGCTGGCCTCAATGGATGGATGGAGCAGAGGTGTCCTTTGGCATACTATGGGTGTACATATTCTCAGCGTAGGTTTTGTCCTTCAACACAAGGGGCAAAGATTATTCACGACCGCCATCTGAGGTCATTTGGTGTTCAGCCTTGTATATCTACAGTGTTAGTAGAACCAGCTAAAAACTGCCTCATTGGTCCATGTAGTGACCATCTGAGTAATCTTCCTTTTGAGGTTCTACAGCATATTGCTGGTTTTCTGGATGGTTTTAGTTTGTGTCAGCTTTCCAGAGTGTCACGATTAATGAGAGATGTATGTGGAAGCTTGCTTCAAGCGCGTGGAATGGTCATACTGCTTTGGGAAAAGAGAAAGTATCCAGATGGAAGTTCTTCATGGCAAATAAAAGAAAAGGTAAGTTAACTTTGTTTCTTGGGAAGTCTGAGACATACCTGCTTTTGTCTTGAAAATGACTGTTTTCCCTAAGCACTGCTCACAGATAGTATGTATTTAGGTTGGTTGACATCATGGTGTCTCTTGAAAAAGACATTCTGCCAGGGAACTCAATGCTAGTCTGAGTCTCAGTTGTGGGGGAAAGTGCTACCATAAGCAATTTGGTTGTTGCCTTCCTAGAACATTCAGCATATTCCCAGTAGTTTGGGGAATGGGATTTGAGGTAATTCCTGTCCATTTTTTCTGTCATTATAATATGTAAAATAATAGTGCTGTAATATTGAGGAAAACTGAAAATATGTATCTAGAAATTAGAAATCAATTGGAGATTTTCTCTAGTTTTTAATAAAGATAGGAAATGAAAGTATACATTTCTAAATTTGGTCCTGATGTTTGTCTCTTGCCATGGTATTGAATAATTTTAAAAAAAGTTAAACATTCAAGTGACCTGAAAAATCAGGCACCAATTTACACATTACATGATGAAGAGCTGAGTACTTTCATCTCCTTTTTCTTCAGTTGGACTTGCAGATATTCAGCATGACTGACAACCAGAATCTTACTTTTCAAAACTAAAACCACACAGATACTAAGATACATAATGTTTTTGCCTGGCATATAATTTCCAGATCAAATGTGTTCAATTTAAAATGATTCTTTCCCCACCTCCACTTCTGCCTCACATTTCCGTCCTATGAAGTCAACCTGGATTCTGAAAGTCAAGCTGGATATTATTGACTGAAATTTAGTAAACTGTACAACGGGTAATTTTGATTTAGCTGTAATTAATGGTGGACCTAAATTATTTACAAAATGGAGGTTAGTGTAGTAAGATCAAGTGTCTTTAAACATTATTTATATTAGTTTGATTCTCTGTTTATGAAAACCAGTTTGATGCTAAGCATTTATTTGTTTTCCAGGTGTGGAGATTCAGTACAGCTTTTTGTACTGTGAATGAGTGGAAGTTTGCTGATATCGTAAGCATGGCTGACCACTTGAAGAAATGCAAGTATAATGCTGTAGAGAGAAGGGAGGAGGCTGTCCCGCTGCCATGTATGTGTGTAACACGAGAACTAACTAAAGAAGGACGTTCACTCCGCTCTGTCTTGAAACCTGTACTTTAAAATGCTATGACCCTCCACTTGCACATACACTCAAGCACCTGATATAACCTCTGTAATATTACATGACACTTTATTAATGTACTAAAGAAAATTTCTAGTTAAATCTACTCTGTAACTATGTATATAATGTTTTGAAGTGACATTTATTTTTTATAATACTGTTTAGTTGAAAGTATTGAAAGTTGCCTTAATGTTTGAAAAATTTGGAACTTGCTGGACAGGGTAGTTTTATCTAACTTATGTGATTTTTTTTTTTTTAAGTTCTCTGTGTGTGTGTTTCTGATTCACTGGTGCCCATATTTTTGCTGAATTAGTACAATTTCAGAAATGGATTTCTAAAAGTATGCACATTCAGATAGGATACTTTGAGTTGTAATGAGACAAGTTCATGATCAAACACATTTTGTGTGCTAGGTCTTGTTACAAATTACTTAAACATTAAAAAATGAACACTATTCAGAATTCTGTAGTAGATATCTCAGACAAACTTTTGACTTTTTAAGCACATGTGTGCAAATTTTAGTTTAATCAGTGTTGTAGTGCTCATCCTAGTTAGTATATGGTGACATAGGACATGCATTTTAAAAAATATGTAGCAGTGAAATAAGTGAACTCTGGTTTATGGCAGATTAATTTGAGCACAATTTTTTTGAAGTGTCAGCAAAGGTTACTTTTCTTGTGAACTAATGGTTATTTCACTTTTGGGAGCAAAACTCTTGAGGTTAAAACCATGAAAAATTGGGCCTTAAAGTGACAGTTGTTAAAAATCACTTTTTAAAGTCCATTCTCCAGTCCTAGAGATAAGGAACAACATCTTCCTGTTTATTGGTTATAAGTTAGAATTTGGGATGCACAATTATAGATTTAAAATGCAGCTAATGAAAGGGCTTAACTTGTGTTGTGGTATTGTAACGTATTGTCTTTTGTTTTTGTTAATTTGTCAATAAAAATGCTATACTGGTTGAGGGCATTTTAATTGCCTAAGTATATTAAAATGTATCATCTTCATAAGATGAGACAGTTTCCATTAGTTGCATAAAACATATCCAAAATGCTTTGTTCAGCCATATGTGTGATTAAATGAACTCCAAATTGTTTCTACAGTCTCTTGCCATGTGGAAACTTGCATAGCATCTTGTGAATAGGAAGTATGTGCTGGTTAATAACAAAAGTACAATAGATCAATTCAAATTTACTTTCAGACTTTTGTGTTGGTGACAATAGACTGTTGCACTCTGTGACTGTGCCACACACTAAGACAGAAACAGACTGGAGTTTGGAACAATGAAATACAGTATGCATTTCAATTTTAGATAAAACAAGACATTCTTAAGGAGAGGCTACAATAGTAATGGCTACATTTAAAGTTTGTAACTTCTGTAAGCGATACTTAAGTTATTGCTAGCCTGGCTACAGTTCACAATTGCAGCATCTGTGTATTGCCCATTCTGGGTCCAATTCAGCTAAATAGGCATTGTGGTTTTTCTGTTCAGAATGCTAAAGATTCTCCAAAAAGAAACCAAACCCAGTTCTTCAGTGCCATATGACAAAACTGTTGAAGAGCTCAGACAAAACAAACTCTTTGCATACCGTTTTCTAGAATATTTGAATCTTGGGATCATGTGTCTTTTCACACTTCTTTCTCCCACTTTGGATGGGAGCAAGTGGGGGAAGAACACTTTGCAAAAAGTTCAGCTGTTTTTGATAACTCTCCATACATATCCATCCATGGTGATGACTGCAGGAAACATGAATGACATTCTAATTTGGAAATAGAAATTGGATTTTATCTGAAGGTAAAAAGATCTTTCTTTCCCTTCCCTTTTATATGTTGTAATACTCTCAAAACCAAGAGAGAGAAACCTCCAGTCCCATGGAAAGACAGTTTCCTTTTAGCACCATATCTCAGCTGTAATGGACCCCATGCTGCCTTCACTTCCAGAAATAACTGTCATACTGGAGGAACACAGACTATTCAGGTTGCATCTCTAAAGCTGCCTCCACCCCAAGGTGATAGATACTCACTTAGTTAAGGACTACTGTAACTCGGGTTCTTGGTATTTGAATTAACAAGAATCCTTCTTTTTATAGAACTGGGCTAGCCAAAGGTGTTTCTCTAGAGAGAAGTTGCTGCAAGTGCTTATGTGGACAGAATCTAGCCTGTAGCAGAGTACAAATATGCAGCTAAAGTAAAATTGATTATGCTGCTGTGTTAAAATAGGCATTTTAAATACTAGCTATTTTCATCTTGACAGATAACACTACATTCTCAATACATGCACTTTTGTTCTCAAGTGTTAGATACTGACTTTGTTAAATATAAGTTTCTATTTTTAGGAAAATCCAGAGCTATTAAAATATCAATGCTGGAAACAACATTTCTGATTGTAAATTGTTTCATATGCAAGAATACAATACATAATTGGGATAACAGCATTTATTTTACACTGCTATGCAGTCCGTAAAACATCAGTAATATGTAATCAGTCTATCGGAACTTGGCTGGTTTTGTTCATATTTGTCCTGGGACTTT